ATATATGTGTATATATATATATATATATATATATATATATAAAACGAATGTTGTTATTCCTCTCTCTCTCTCACCTCCTTTTCTTGGTGCAAAACGTTGATGAATTGTATCTCGATAAAGAAAGAAAGAGAAGGAAAATTGTGCAGCGGTTAAATCCTCGGAACGACGGAAGTGGGATCACTTACGTAAGGTCATACAAGTGCGACAGGTATGCGAGTCCTTCGAGAAGCATGAACACGCATATTAACGTGCACACGGACGGAACGGCCTCCGCGACAACACTCGGTGTTGTTATGTAATTTATTTTACGTTCGTTTTAAGAGGCGGCTCGAAACGACGACGAGGAGACGCCGATTTCATCGGTGTGTGTTTATCATCGCCTCCCACTTCTCGGTCTACGGAAAAGAAATCGTAGCGATAATTTTCGCGAAATTTCAGGAAAGTATTCCTGAAGACTTGTTGAAGTTGGAAGAAGAAGAAGAGAAAAAAAAATTTCGAGCTGAAGAACGAAATATCGAAATTCAAATAATAATAAATTGGAAGAACGAGTTGTTTCACGACGCGTATGATTTTTCCTCCAAGTTGCCCTTGCGAGTCTTGGATCGCATCGTAGAGATTTAAATTGAAATTACAGTCTCGACGACGCTAATTATTTCCATTACGAGCGGGGCGTTGCACGACTTTCTTGACGGTCGCGACGGATCTAAGGTCGGACGAAGCTTCGTGCATTATCGACTCGCAGTTCACTCGCACGAACGATCTTTTTCTCGAACGAGAAATAAAAAGTAACTCCCTTGACAGAAATTGACAGCAAACTTTACCTTTTATCGCGGAACTTTTTCTTCTTCCCATCCCGGTGACGATGGACGGCACGACATTTACCGAGTGTCAAAGTCTATTTCGGCCCATCCTTCGTTGGTAAGCATTGTTGTATCACCGTTCTTGTATAAACACTCGCGACCGAGAAGCGTTTCAGAGAGCGTTTAACAACAATCCGTTATTGTCGAAAACGCCTCGCCTCGAGCGATAAGAAAATTTGAAGCGTATTCTCACGACGTATCGTGGCCGAATGAATAAATTTGGTTGCAACGAGCGAATCTCGTTAAAGAGCGGCCACGAAGGGCATTTATCGTCACAGTGGTCGTGACCAATTCATTGTCGCTTCACCGAGAGAGCGAAAATATCGCTTCGACCGGCCATGCCTATTTATAAACCTTCTTAAGGAGATTCTCGGACGTTTTCCTTCCCTCTCTCTTCCTCTTTCGCAGCAATAACCCCTCTCTTTGTTCCTGGACACTGAAACCGTGGATCCTTAAACGAGAGAGAGAGAGAGAGATCGAATAGAGAAGTGTCTCCGATGCTCGTCTCTGAGACACGCGAGAAAACAGGACGATTGATCGTCGGTATCGTTTTCAAAGTATCCTTTACACCCTTCGAATCTTTCCTCCGTTATATATTTCTATCCCCGGTTTTAACTCTCACGCTCGTCTCCTCTCTCGTTCCATCGCTTTTCCAATGTTATCCTCGCAAAATTTTATCCACTCTTCCGAATGAAATTTACTTTTTTCCTTTGTTCTTAAACTTTAGATTTTACTCTTTCGTCGACTCCCCATCGAGATTTCTGGTCTCTGGCATGGTTACTCGAGGCTGGCGCGAAAATACTCGGGAAACTGTTGCAGACCACCAGTCGGGCAGATAGATACAACTACGAGTCGACGAATCTATCTCCACCGTTCTTCTTCTACGAAAGAAATACGAAGGAATATCGTTGAATTTTTAACACGTGCTTTCCAACACTTTCACTTGGTCGCCGCGTAACACGATTGTGAAACGAATGAAAGAAAAGAAAGGAAAAAGAAACGGCCGTCTTTTCGAGATCGAGAATCGATATCGCGTGGCTTTTCGGTCGGCCGGCCGCTGCGGAGCGCGATCGGCACAGCATCCACGCTACCGGATCACTGGTGAGACACTAACCGACAAGAGACAGAGAACGCAGCAGACACGAGGTAGAGGTAAGCTACACCGCAATTGGTCGGGTTGGGAGAGATGGAGAAGAGTGTGTTAGCAGGGTGCAGGGGAAGAAAGAGACGGCGGATAAAAGTGGACAGGGTGGGAAGTAGAAATAAGCAGGTAGTGGGAGTGGAGTAGTAGTAGCTGGTTGCGTACACCAGCCTTAAAAGCAGGTATCCACGTGGCCGATCCTCGTAACGTCGCCTCACTTCGTATCGCGACCAGTTTCCTACCAAAATAACCACCGAATTTCTCCTCTCCTCTTTTTCCTTCCATTCCCTACTTTTCCAATTTTTCTCTTCGAAAATCGTATTACTCCTTCGTAATCGCGGTCGATTCGGAAAGTGTAGTAAAGCAAGACGTACAACATACGTACCGATTTGGAAAGAGATTTGTGGATCCCCTTCGAAAGATTTCCTTAATTCGATTGTATTTTCAAAGGGAAATACGAGAACCGAAATCCTCTCCTGCAACGAATAACTTCTACACGATACGCGATAACCGAGTAAATTGGATGGAAATTCACGAGCCGAGAGGATTTTCTGCACGTGCATCTTTTACGGCGGAAAAATTAAAACTCGAGAACCACTCCCTCTTCGTTATTTTATTTACGTTCGTTATTTCACGGGAATTCAACTTTTTTAACGACAGTTCAAAGTTTAGAAAAACAAAAAAAATAAAACGTGAGTTACAAACGTGTATTAGATAGGTTAATTATGCGTATACGTGATATTTTAAAGACTTTTCTAAAAGTGGACAATTTAAATTATAAAATATAAAAATAAAAATTACAAGAAAGATCATTGGCGTGATCGGTACACGAGCACGTGTACAAAGGAATCTCGTCTCGGTGGACATTAATTAAGGAAAGAACGGGGAGATAGAATTATAGCCGGAGGAAGATGGCGACGAAGGATCGTTCGGAAATTACACGTTGTGTGGGTGCATTGCCTACTTCTTTCTCGCATTTTTCTTATTCCCACGTTCCTTCCACGTTAATGATTGGTGGCCGCGTCGATACCATACCCTTTCACGCGAGCACTAACCGTGTAGCAATTAACCGTGAATATTGTTCGAGGTAATAAAAGTTACGATCCGCTGTGTAAACCGTATACCACTGGAAAAAAAGAAAAATAAAAATAATTGCCAGTTGTTGTCTTTTAATTCTCAACCCGATCGATCCCCGTTTTTAATTTCTCGTCTCTTGTAAAGATTAATATTTTTTTTTAGAACGAAACTATATGCGATTAACGATCGTCGCAAAAAAGGAATAAATTTCGAAGAAATTTTCGGGACGAGTTGAATTTATTACCGTGGGAAGAGAGAAGATAAAGAGGAATTTATATTTTCGATTTCTAACCAGGAATCACCACACCCACTGTTTCCCTGCTGTTCCCTCTTTTCTAACCTGTAAATAATACATCTGTATCTGGGACACCTGTAACGACGTATTTTCGTAGCGCATAACCTTACGATCCATCGATTTGCCCGCCATCTCTCCACCGCTTTCGAAACAACCCGTGAATAATTTTTCAAGCAAGAACACTTTATAAACGAACGTGTATTTTCTTTGGGACGAGAACGAAAGATTGAGATTAAACGATAAATGTAGTTGTTATTACTGCTTATAAAATGGAATACCTTTATCGAGGTATGTTTCGATGAGTTTTCTCGCGAGAGAATCGCGTACAGTGATCCGACCATTGTGCTTTGGAATATTGTTCGTGTTTATATAATTTATTGGCGAAATTGTTGAAAGAGGGTCGGTTGACTAATAATGTATACAAGGAATGAGTCACTGTTCCACGGGAGTGGACTCTCCGTGAAATAGAAATAGATCTCGATGCGACGCTGGTCACTCGGGATTCCAGTTTCGTCGATGACTGTTTTAAAAAAAAAGAAACAAATTTCATCGCTCTGCATGATGTCGACGTGGAAACGGAAAAAGGAAACAATAACGGAAAAAAAATAAATCCATCCTTCTCCTTGTAAACAGTAATCCTAACCTTTTCGTTTTCCCAAAACTTTCCTTCTTTGCGTTGAACGATATTTATCTTTCTTAGATAAGATTCCTTCCTTTTATTTACCGTGGAAAAAATCGATCGATTATTTTTGCTTCTCTTAAACGCACTATCGAAAGATCGAGGATTGGAATCGTATTTTTGTATTCTCTCTCTTTTGTTCGAAACGATCGAAGCGTTTCCCCGTTTCTCGGGAAAAAAACACGCGTTTCCTTTTTGTTTACACAGGTCGAACGTGTCGCACGAACAGCCACGGATTGAAAAGTGACGCGTTGTTAGCAGCGTGCTTCAACCTTGGAAGGAAAACACGTGATTCGGTTTCGCGGTTTGCCGTGCGTATGTATAGTGTGTACGCGTGTATACAGCGTGTGTGTATATATATCTATATATTTCGAACGTTACACGCGTTACATTTGACCACGTTTTCGCGCGTATACACGTACAGCAGGGACGCAACAGCGTTGCTTTAATTATAGACCGGAGCCCTTCTTCTTTCCACCCTCAACAAAATTGGAAAGCTAATCTGGATTTAACGATGGGTCGTGTATTTTGTTCGAAAGGATTGCAACATTTTCCAACGGACAACGGATCTCTCGTATCGATTAAAAAATTAAGTTTTGCAATTTCGCGAAACACGGTTATTTCCGAGGATACTTAGGCTGGAGACGAACGTCGTGTCTTGGTTGAAAAAGTTTTGAAGAGATTATATATTATATTGGGAAGGGCTTTGCTCTAAGAAGGTTCCAGAAGAAGTTTCCCGCAACTTTACTAGGTCATCGAAGAGTTGAATAATGCGCTCGGCATCTTGAATAACTGTATGAAGTTTTTAATACCGTCAGATATTGAGCGAAGTAAAATTTAATCTTCTAACTTTTCATCCTTGAAAATTCTTTCTCTGTTGTTTAAAAAATCGTAATTGACACGAACGTAAAAAATAATCGATCAAGATAGTTACAAGGTAGTATAGTTAGTTGCTCTTCGCTTTCTAAATATTATCTTCGATCATTCTCGATCCGTTCGACGCATTCTTTCGAGATTATGCAAATAGAGAACACGAAGAGGCGTCGTTACACCGCGAAGCGTAATTCGATTTTGACGATCTATCCGGATGTGACGCAGCTCGTTCTCACCGAGAGATGCAGTTGGAATCCATAAAATACTCTCCGTCTCCCCGTTCCTCTACTTCTTTTATTATCGTCTAGCCTGGCAGATTAGAATCGAATACGAAGATAGATCCGCGGATTCTTCCAACAGGATTTTCATTCGTTAATTGGTACGATCTATTTCATTCAACTAAAAAAGGAATGTTAAAAAGAAACACATCTGAGACCATAAAGCTCTTTTTTCTCAGATTTTGCTCACCTCGATTTATTTTTATAAATAATCGCAGAGGGAGGAAGAGTAATTATCTAGCGTGCAGCTGTGGATGAGTGGCACGTTTAGTTTCAGATTTTATCTATGCACCCCAAACGCGGTTATAGACCTTCTATTTTTAAATGACAACTCGTTGCTACGTTGCAGCAACCTTAAGCTAAAACCTTTTCTTTTCGCGGTATCGATTCGATGAATCTCTTTGAAAGATGTTAAAACTAATCCTCTCTCTCTCAGGATATAAATGACGATTGTTGCGATATGTAAGCTTACCATTTGTTGCGAGTTCTTCGGTTTCCTATTCACGTCGATCACCTTTTGATTGGCTGCAACGAAAAATATTAGGACAATTAATACAAACACGGTTTTTCCTAACGGGCGTTAACGGGGCAACAAATCGTGAATTTATCGAGGCACATCACTCGTGGCGTGCGCGCTCGGTTTGGCACGTGACCACGTTACCCTCCCGAACTAACTAACGACTTTACCGACGATTTATGTGTTATGGGTAACTGTCCAATACCATAAACGATTCGACCATTGAGTACTGTTACTTTGCCGCTTTATTATCTGCGGCATCCATTTCATTCACTTCGAAACGCACACCGTGAAAATAAAAGATATACGATTTTTCGCTCTTCCCTGTCTTGACGAGGATAACATCCGCGATTTACACAACGTTAACAATCTCACAATTTACTCACTGACTGCCTCGACCAGGTCGGCAAGAAGAACACCGTCGCAAAGATCCGTTTGCAGATCCGTCACTCTTCTCTTGCAACCGCCTCTCTCCAAATAATAATTCGCCCAATCGGTGTAGATCTGCAAACAAAAAAAAAAAAAAAAAAGAAAAAGAAAAAAATAATAACAATCGATCGAGATGTTGGAGCATAGATTTTCGTCGTTGGCAAACCGTACATTTTCATTCGCATTTTAATCACGCGTTCGCTCGAACTGTACAGTAAGTGTTGCCTATTGCAACCGTGTAGGCACACTTACGTTTATTAACTCGTATTGCACGCGAGGCCTATATGGCCCCCATGCGCATACTTTTATCGTTCTGTCCATTACATACGATGCATTACGACGGCTGAATCGTCGTTTCACAGGTGCGCTGTCTCTCTATCAAATACGATTAAATCAACTTCCGCGTATTTAACGACGATTCTATTTTTTTTTTTTTTTTTTCACCTTTGTTTCGCGGAATCGAAGGAGCAATCGTCATCGTTAAGAGAGGGAACGATAGGATAATCGGAGATATTTTTACATTTTCAATTATATTCACTTTCGTGTTTATTAACTATCTGAAACGGCCAATTAAGACTTCCTTCGAGCGAGAAGAAGTGTTTCTAATCACCTCGAACCGGAAGAGGAGGTTTTTTTTGGCGGAAGGAAGGGTTGATCGAGAGTTTATCGTTTTTTAGGGGGGAGGGATATTTTTCGAAGGGAAGAATAGACGCGGCAGACGGATCGAGAGAAGATGAAGGTTCACGGTGGAAAGGAATTAGTCACCACGCGTCCTCCTTCCCTCGTGTTCGCGCGCGCACACCGAATCTCTTCGTGTTCTTCTGTTTGCACCTACGCGTGTTCGTGCACGCATTCGTATTCCACGCGTGTATATTTACATACATGCTCGACCAATCCCTCCTGTCGCACGCCCGTTTCCACGTTTGCACGTGTGTGTGTGTGTGTGTGTTCCCACACGAACGCGTTTCTCAGCCGACGAACCAGCAGCTACCGAGACACGAGCTACTATTTTTGAGCCTGGCAAAGAGAGAAGCAGGATGAACTTCCTTCATAATTTCGGGTCACCACCACGCGGATTCTAATTTTCATTATTATTATTATACACGGTGAACAACTCGAACCACAACCTCGAAACCACTTGGTTATAACCACTTGGTCGAATTGGCTGATCGTATCTGCCGATTCTTCGATCATAGACTTGAAGAAGAAGAAGAAGTAATGAGTTAAAAATCTCGAATATTCGTTATCGAAATCGAACCGCTTTTCTTATAATTTTGGCCGTTTCGTTATAATTATTCGCGATTATTAATATGTATTTTGAAGAAATGTGACGATAAATTATCGAGATAACTTTAAAATATTAAATTTTGCAACGTCACTGTCGTGGACAGATTTAATGCAACGAATCATCATTCGATTCGAAGCAAAGGGTTTATACGAGGAACGTTGCTTATTAATTTTCATCAAGTTTTCTCGACAAAGATAATTATCACAGTTTTAAAAAAGTAACCAGCCTATTACAATCGATCCGCTTTTCGTATAACCTTGCCCATTACTATTACTCGCGATTTGAAGAATGAATTATCGAAATAAATATTTGTGGAAGTAACTTCAACTATTAACGCTAAACCTATCAGAACACGGTCAAATTGAATTCACTTTTTCATATATTTAAACATATTTAAAGTTATCATATCGCTATCAAACTTTATGACTTTTCCTAATAAAATATGTATACAAAATATTTCTCAATATTTACTTTTAGTTCTTTTCTTTTCTTTCCAAGAAATATATGTACTTCGTCTTGCTTACCGACGCGGTAGAAATAAATACGCAAGAACTGTCGGTAAGTTTAGTGTTAAATTTTGCCGCATCGATGCTAGACGAATTATCATAGTATAACGATGATATTTCAAATTGCTTTTTAATCGTGTCATGATGAACATTGCTTATTTTAATTTTCATGAAATTTTTTTCCTACTCGACGAAGATAATTATCCGTAGAAACTGGTAGTAAAAATCTCGAAATGTTCGTGTTACAATCGGTTCGCTTTTCGTATAACCTTAGCAATTATTCGCGATTATTAATACGTATTTGAAGAATAAATTATCGAAATAACTTGTGGAAGTAACCTCGACTATTAAATTTTGCCCATTATATCACCGGGTTGACGCACGCGTCTTTCGAGCTTTCATAACGGTACACGGGAAGGGGAAAAAATTGAATCGTAAAACGTGTATATATAGAAACCATGTTTGGCCGAATTGCGACACGGAATCGTTTACCTGTACGACGTTGCGCGTCGAATCAGCCTTGATGTCGTCGCTCGATCCACACACAGATCTCGGTGCTCTGATACACGCCATCACGTCGATACCGGTTACCGTCATCCAACTCGCATTAATTCACGCGCTACACGGAATATTCACGATGGAATCGCTGATTATCGAGCACTGAGCCACGAACCGAGCGTGAACCAACTCGCATCGATATATCATTAACGATCGGTTAACGATTAATTCGCATCAACGGAATCAGAAAAAACACTGTCCGTCAACATCAGAGACCAGGTATCCTTCCGACAATGGCGGCGCGGGTTGATCAACGACGATTGGAAGAAGAATTAGGCGTCGGCCGATTCGCGTTTGATCACGATCGATCCGTACCGTGTTCCTCTATCTATTAATACGAACGATCTTGTTATCTCCGATGCACGTGCTCCCACGGGGCGTGTCGTCACGTTTCTTTCGCTGCTCGGAAGAAGCAGTGTCAGACGTGCAACAAGCGACGTGTAACAACGTGAACGATATTCCAGTTCAAAGCTCCCTCTCCTCCCGTTCCCGCATTTGCGTGTACATACATACGTATATACGTGCGTCTCACATTCTTCTTTCTTCACGAAAGCGAAAAGAGCGATCGAGAGTTTCTTCGCGAATTAGTGATTGTCGCGCGAATTTTTATCTCGCGATAAAAATTTGGCGGACGAACGATAACGGGTCTGAAAAGTTCCTTCGAATTTCGTGCAGGATCGAGTTTCGATCCTTTTTCCTCTTCTTCCACCTCCTTCTCGAGCGAATCGAGAAATTTCGAAGATCCGAGGACGGAAACTTGTCAAATAAGCACGGAGCGTTGCTCTTAAGAGCTTGGCTCTTGGCGAGCCAACTTCTACCAACTTCTATCTATCCCTTTCCGCATTATCCAATTATTCAATTTCGCGGCGGACCGTTGCCGTGCCTCCCCTCCTCCTCCCCCCCAGCATAAACAGAAACCACTCGTGTCTTTTTTCACCGCTCTCTCGGTGTATCTCCTCGTGACATTGTCCGAGGAGCAACGTGGAACAACGATCATCGAACGAAGAAAAAAGAGGGGGGGAGGGAAAGAAAGAAAGAGAAAAAGAAAGAAACTACCACGATTCGAGTTTACGATGTTTCGAGAAACTCGAGACACGGATACGATCGCGTTTTTCTCCACACGATTTTCGCGGTTAAAACAGTTTAACTCTTAACGACGATCGGTCGCGCGAATTACGGTCGCCCCCTCCTTCCTTCGCCGCAAAGATCCTCCTCGTGAACGTGTTATTATCCTCGTGACAGCGAGGAGCCGCGTGACGGAAGAACATGGCGGAAAAACGCGGCCGCGAGAGAAGGATCGCCGCCGAAACGATGCGACCACGCGTCTCGACGGCGCGACGCACCGGACGTAACTGAATACAAAACACGTAAGCCTCACGCTTCTTCTCTACGCGTACGTACCCCTCGCTCCTTCTCCTTCTTTCGCTCGCCCTCTCTCTCTCTCTCTCTCTATTCGACTGTCTCCTCTTTTCTTTTATTTTCTTATTCTTTTTCTCCTCTTTTTGTTTTCATCATCTTCGATTCCGTCTCCGTCTCTCCTCTCCGAGACCACGGTTCGGTCTCTCCTTTTGTTCACAGATACACACGCGCATATACGCACGTACACACGGGATTTCCTGCGTACAATTGTTCCGACCGAGTTTCTATTACGAGATATAATGAGGATACGGCGGCACCAACTTTCGTTCGAAACGAAGCCGAAATAATCTCGCGTGGAAACGTTCGATTGAGATCGAATTGGTGGATGGAGGAATCGAATTGATCGATCGAGGAAAAGTGAGAAAGTCGATAAGAGGAAAGTAACGATGGAAAGAATTGGCTCGAGAAGATAATATCTTTTCTCTCCACGGGCGAAAATAACGCGACGCTGGTCCGAGGGATGAAGATAGGAACGAAACTCGTTGAAGAGAGAGAGAGAGAGAGGAGAAAGGATCTCGATTGTAAGTCGGTTTTAATTCGACTCGACTGGAAACGAAGCAACGATGAGTAAATCGTCGAGCTGTGCGTGGCTCGTTGTTCCGTAAATTAAGAAGATCGAGAGAGAGAGAGAGAAAGAAAGAGGAAAGACAATAAATTCGTCGATCTTAGATCGAACGTATATACAAAAATTCTTCCTCGATAATTCGAAAGATATTAATACCATGTTGCTCCTCTTGTTTTTAATCTGGATATACCAGGGAAATCCATTGAATGCAAATGTTGCCCGATTGAAAAAATAGGAGGAATCTCTTTTCCAAAAAAGAATTCAGTCGGTTTGGACAATGACGACGACGCGAGGTCGGTTGGTAACAGCGAGCAGCATTTCTTGACAGGTGGCTCTGCTATCGATTTGCTATTCCGGAACGATTCCCATACGAGCACCATCGTTAATTGTAATGCCGGCTATCGCGTTGCCTTTTAACGCCCCTACGACCCGCACCAACGAATTGAACAGCCCCTCCGCACACCTTCTCTCTCGATCCTCTGCCACCTGCCTCTCGATATCCCATATTAAATCGCTTAATTATCGAACACTGCAAAAACCACCTTTCTTCCTTCTTCTCGTACAATTGAATAATGCTTTATTCGCGCCGAAAAAAAATCATGGCTGGTTAAAACGGGATGGTTAAAAAAAGGCGATGGTTTGGCAGAAATGGAAACGAGTGATTTTCGCGGAGGGGACGGGACGCGTATAGGTGTGGGATGGCCGAGAGATGGGGGAGAGAAAGAGAAAGAGAGAGAGAGAGAGGGATTGAAAGGCGGAAAAGGGGTGGTGGTCCGCCTTTGTCGTCCGATTATGAAGGGGCTACTCGATGGGCGGCAAGAGAATGGGGCGATGAAATTAGGTTTGCCTTGGCCGCGATATCGAGACAGGCCGCTCGGTCGAAATGAAAAAGACCAGGAGGAGGAGGAGGAGGAGGGGAGGAGGAGGAGAAGGAGGTGATCGTGAACGAATAATCCTTCGAACGAGATAAAATTATTACCCTTTTTGTTCGACAGAGATTATTGGAGAGAAAGAGGAAAATGTTTATCGAGCGCGATTCGATTCGCGTTTAATCGTATCGAAAAGTCGGTTTTTAAGGGAGAGATAGTCGACGGTTGATCGTTAATCGTAGGAATTCTTTTCGGGTGATAAACGGTCGGGGAAGGCAGAGTTGAGGACATTAAAATTTATGCACATACGAAAGTTGCAGTTGGTTGGCTCGCTTTGTTTTTCCTTCACGGTCATCGTCCTGAGTTTTTCTTTCTTCTCTCGACCACACTACTCTCTGGTTGCAAATGAACCACGCGTGCGGATCCACCCTCTGTCGGTACCCATTTTTCCCTCTGCCCCCTCCCCCCCTTTCGTTCCATCTTTTATGTCTGTATTTCTTCTCAAGCCTCGCCCACACTTTGCTCGCAAATTACTTTTTTACGCGTTTCTTTCATCTTTCAAAATCACTTTTAACGATGATCAAACATTTTCATCGAGAAAATTACTCGAGCGATCTTTCCTCCTTCAAAACTTGGCGTAGAATTTTATATAAATCTTTCGCTCGAGTTGAGAACCTTCGTAACCGAGTTATCGTCCCCCAAGAACGAACGAACGAAGAGGATGCACCCTCTTCCCTCAGGATGAGAAGCGTGTACGTGTCCTGCAGCGTGGGTACAAAACGTATCGTACCCTCTCGAGATTCGAGGAAACTCGTCGTCATGGCTACGAAAATCCGGAAGGAACATGTTATTTTTACGCGGCAACTTTCCCCGAAATCCTCGCCCACTTTCACCACTCACTTTCCAGGGAATTCCAAGTGCACGACCGATCTCTATCGTCGTGAAAATTGAAATAATAACACGGGCTGGAACAACGATTCGTTAGCAAAAAGTAAGTGGAAAGGAATATCGTTGTAAAATGGACGTAAATATGATCGAGGAAGAGAAGGAGAAAATTAGGGGAGCGACTTTTTCATCGGCCGCTCGAACGGCGCCAACGCGGGTTTATGTTTTATGAATGAGTTACACCTACGCGTCATTACGGTCCGCGCGAGCTAAATATACCTGGGTCGCAGGCTCGCGCGCCAGCCCTACCCTCCCATTGTACATTGTGCGCATCGTGTGGGCATCCTGCGCGAGAACTAGCCCACACGGTGCCTTCTTAACGATCCTCGAACCCGCGTATTTACGCGTTAACGTTACTTTCGCTCGTGGGACGACAAACGACGAGAGACACGCTTAACCTTTTCACCGCCTCTTCGATCCAACCATTCCAACGAATGATCGTAATCGATCGAATCTTCTCGATTCGCGCTAACCGAGTTAATAAAAACGAGTTAAGGGACCTGTTATTCCACTCGGATCCGTAGACGCGTGCCTGTTCGCGGAAACATTAGAAATTCGACAGGCGTAGCGTCGAAATTGCAATAATTCTTTCGTCTCACGTTTCACGGCGAGTGGCGCGCGTGGAAGGCAGTTGGACACGCTTGCCAACTTACTTACTCCAAAAAGCTTTAACGAGGTTCGTAACGTTTGCCGAGGAGGGTTGCCCCCGCGTCTCTCTCAGTCAAGAGTGGCGCAACGGGCCTCTGCCTGCTGCTTTCCTCGCATCACCCCCTCCTGCCCTCGGGACACACGCCGCGACACGAGGAACGATCTCCTCCCTTCCGCATCGCCGAGCAAACGAACTTGTCGTCGTTCGGTGAAAAAGGAAGAGACGACGCGTGTCCGCTCTTTAATCGTCCATTCACCATCCTTCTCCTCTCCATCGTCGTCGAAAAGTCGCTAGTTGAAATCGATCTCGGTCGTCAAAACGTCCTTCTTTGTTGGTAATTTATCGACCGAGCCTTGGAACGGAAGATATATATTTCGTGGATTGCGCCAGGACACACGTTTTCTTCTCCTCTTTCGCGCGGCTAAACGAAAGGCGTGTTCTCATCGCGTCTACGCGTCTTCTCTTAAAGTGGCTACGAAAGCAACGAGCGCAAAGTGAAAAAAACTAGATTTAACTAGGAACAACATATATTATTCGTAGCTATTACGATCGATCCGCTTTTCGTATAATCTCGACCGTTTTGAACGAAGAATAACTAACTTTGATTATAAAAGAGAAAAGGCGAAACTCGAAAGATTACGCGGTATTAAAATCGCGAGGATCGAGCGAGGAAATTCGATCGCTCGTTGGACGAAAACTACACTTCTTCCTGTTTCACGAGAGAGAGAGAGAAAGAGAGAAAACGACGAAAAATCGGACGAAGCGAGATATACGATAGCCCAAAGGGACATCCGATATCTATATTCTCGAAATTCGTAATCCGGAAGCCGCGCTTATTTGTTCTCATTCTCCGCCGCGTATATTTCTCCGTTATTTTTCCTTCAAAGATCACTGAGATAAATAGACTATACGCACAACGTGCACCAAAGAGAGAGAGAGAGAGAGAGAGAGAAATATTATACACGTAATAAAGATGAACGAAGCAAAAGTGTTTTCTTTTTTTCTCTCGTAGGAAAGAGAGCGGACGGGGAGGGGGGAAAGAAGAATAAAAGGAAGGCGGGACGAGGGGTCGGATAGCCGGGCGGCAAAGCAATTTTCCCGGGGCTTCGAATTGGCAATTGGACGATAAATGATTTAGGTCGCGTAAGCGCGTACCTATGTACGTGTTACTTTACTTGGCCGATTGGACGGGGGCACGCCTGGCCCGAAGGCAGAGCGCGCGTATCTCCTCTCCGTTCCACCATCTTACCCACGAAATAGATCTTTAATTCAATCGCTGCTGACTCACGCCTCTTTGCCGCAACGATTCGCTTTTACTTTTCCAGCTGTTCGGCTCGAGATTCTTTCGCCACCTTCCACCATCCTTGAATATCGATGTTCTATCCGTTCGCGGGAAGAGAAGCGTTTCCAATTCCTTTCTTTTTCTTTCGATTTTTCTTTGCCAAATGATTAATTTTTTTCGTAACGATTCGAAAAATAATTAAAATCAAATAAGAATGCGTCGCTTCCCTTCGTTATTAGCATCGTCCCTTTGTAGTGGAGATTAATCCTCGAACAGGATCTCTTCTTCTCACGCGTACTCCATTAATTAATTTGAAGGGGCCGGTTAATAATAAACAAAATCAATTCCCTCCTTTGATCCGTGCAACCGAGACTTCTCTTGGAAGGACGGAGCGAAACAAAGAGCGATCACACACACGCACGCGCAAGAAAGAGAAAATCCTTGCTCCTTGGCGCTCGAAGATGCTGGCGGCGGATCCCTCAGAGTAAACATCCGCGGATCGAGGATGATCAAAGTACCTTCGCACCCCCTCCGAGAGCAGAGTACCACTCGACAACCCCGCCGTTATCCCCTTCTTCGAACTGATTCTCGAAAAACTCGACTCTAGAAAAAAATATTTCCAAAAAAAAAAAAAGGAAGAGAAGAAAATCGAAATGGATCATCCTCGATCAATTCGACGCGGAAGAAAAGTATATCGTATATAAACCGCTCGAGGGGAAACGAGGGCGGAATGAAGTGAAACTCGGTGGCGCAAATTTGCAGCTCGGTTTCCGAAATTAGCTCGATGAGGGACGGCCGAGTGGAAATCGGTTCCTATCCGCCTCGAGGGATCGAGACGACGACACAGACCACACATACATACATGCATACGTATATATATATATATATATATAGAGAGAGAGAGAGAGAGAGAGAGAGAAGACAACAAGACGGAAGGAAGG